CCAAGAAAACCGGACCAATTCAAAGCAATTGCATTAAATTTGGTTCGAAGTATTATAACCGGACATAATCGATAACTTTCTTGCTTTTTTATCGGTTTTTTCCTTTCTGAATAATAGACTGCTGCAACAGTTTTCCATAACAGTAACAAATTCAAATATTTTGCCTTCTTCAGCGATTTAGGATTCAACAGAATTGACCAAGTTTTCTACCCACCCTGGTTAACATTCCAACAGGAAAGATGGGACTTCTAACGCCGAATTTCCCGTTACATTTATCCGCGCAATAGCTTCTGTTTGCTGAAGTACTTTGTATCTCTTTGAGGTACTACAGCGAATTCAAGAAATAATGTTACTCTGCTTTAATGTTCGAAAATGCAGCAAATGCTTGATTTTTTCGTTTCACACTGTTGTTTTCATTCTTGTTCTAGTTTCTTCTCATTTTTCTGCTGGCCTTTTGAACCACCGATACTTTCAGAGGTCTACAGCTGATATTTTTCTTTTCACAAAGGTTTTCTACAGAGCGGTGTTCTCTTTTTTTTTCTGTTTTTGAGTGGAAGTTACTCCTTTTTCTTTAGGGCACAAGTTTAAGGTGTTGTTTCCTCGGGTAAAAATTTTCCTCATTTTGCGATCTTTTAAATTATACTTATTTTGCAAACCTCTCTTTTGCTAAAATTCCTATTCATGCACGATTAATATTTTGCTTTTTCTTCTCATTTTTAAACCGAGATTCCATTTGATTTATGTCGCAACAAGACGTTTTGCGCTCATCTCATCAAAAATCATACGGTTATTGATTTCACTTTATTTGTTTCCTGTAATTCGCTGTAAACAGTGTTAGTTTTAGATTTTCCTGACTTACTGTTCCATTTTTAATGATAACTGAAAACAAATGGGAAGAAATATTAATAGGTAGAAATTCTGATAATATCGATAGTCCTTGGTTTTTTGCTTTCTTTGTTTCTGTTAGTTGTACTACTTTTTGTTCCTCTGCTTGTTTATAAAAACTTATACGTTTTCAAAAAACTCGTTTTTTGCTCAGGAAAATGTCCTGGTACTTTAAGGAAATATTCCGGCTGCGACTTTACAGCAAAGGAAGGCCGGAAACTTCTCAATCTTCTACTACTTTTAGTAGTTTCCATTCAGCGACTGAAAATTTGTTGTTTTCTTGTAATATGTGGACGTCAGCATCACATGAAGTAAACTGTAGATGACTGAATGTGAATAGAACTATATTACAGGGTTTCTTACTATATTGAGTATAAGGACATCAAGTCTCGTACATGGCTGCACATAAAACTTTTATTATCAAGCGGAAGCTTGCCAGGAAGGCAAAACAAAATAGGTGATTTTCCTAGCCGAAGCTTGTTAAGAAACCACAAAGTTAATTTTGAAAAAGTTTAATTTTCACTGACACTTGCAAAATTGTTTAGCTGCTTTCCTTGAATGCTTTTAATTTCCAGGCCGATGCCACAGTGGGCACGAATGATGACCGGTAATAAGATCAGGTATAACGCCAAAAGACGGCACTGGCGTCGCACAAAGCTGAAGTTATAAAAACGCCCGCTCTTCTTGTTTCGTTACGTCTGCTTTAGCACCTGGGTTGTATCTACAGTAAACAAAATTGTTAGTATTTTGCTCTGTCAATATAACTGTAGAGTTCCACGTGAATAAATTTTCTTGTTAAAATGCTGGCTGCTAATTCTATAATTGTTGTGAAAAGTCATTTTGTGAATAGAGCCCCATTTCTCTATTCGTTTGGAAGGGTTTCTTATTTACCTGTAAGGGAAATTTCTCCTGGGAAAAAATTTTGTCCGTCGGGACTACACGTCCTGGAAAAACCCTTTCTCATGCTGCACACAGAGAAGGTTTAGAAATTTATTGTTTTTAAAATTATTTTCCAATCATTTATAACTGGATGTTCAATTGCATCCGCAGGTTTCTTTAAACCTCTGGTGGTCTTTTCATTTCAAAAGCATCTGGAAGATCTGGTCCCCACAGCCATTTCAGGCTAACTGCAACGCATAATGCGAGAGACCACCGAACGGACTTTGAGTGGATTACAGTTTTAACAAGAACAAATATGAAATTAACAATTTTCAAAGTGATTAGCGAGATAAAAGCATCTGTATTATGAAAACTTCGCTTGTGAAAAATCCATTTCTGGGTGCTGCTCCATGAACCTATAATTCAAACATGTAAGGTGCACTATCAGAGTTGCTTAAATGGACAAGTTACAAGTTTTTTAGAAGGAACGATACTAATTCTAAAAAAGTGTAAAAAATTAATTTACTTCTTTAATATATCACGTTTCTTCTTCTCATCTGAAGTCGGCAAACCAAGCTCTTTTTGCCGTTGGTCGTACATCATCTAAAAAGAAAAAACTTCATTAAAAAGCTGCCTTGATGGTTGCTTTAAAAAATAGTAAAGTCAGCTAGTTATGGAAGATATCTCAATACCTTTTCCACCATTTGCCTGGTTTCTCCATCTAGATCAGATAATTTAGAGTTTTCTGGCTGGACCTTCTTAGTATTGATTTCCGGATCGCTCATGACAAGTTTATTCCACCACTCCATTGTGTTTATCTGTACATATTTAACCTTTTTTTTTTTTCGAGTTTGAACAAAACCCTTCAATCGTGCCTAATAAGAATCCATTTTTATACCTTTTCCAAACTAACAACTACAGTTTTTTTGTCCTCGAGAATCCACGTTGCAGTTTCGAGCTTAATCTGATTACGCAGTTTTCCATCAATAACTGGCTGGTGCCCCTATTAAGAATACTTTCAACAAAAGAAATAAGAGTATTTCAGAGAACTGAAACTATTCTTTGTTGATGAATAAGCAACCATGCAGCGGCTTAAAACTTTATAGCGAAGCAGTGACGACTGGTAGCCTGTTCTTCAAATCCAACTACCTTCAATCCAACTTTCATAGCGTCCTTCGTGATTTCAAAGACAATGTCTCTAGTTTTCAGTGGGAAGTTTACTTTGAACGGCACTCGAACCTGAAATTAAAACCAATTACTAAACTCCATCGACAACAAGTTCATACTTTTTTAATGAAGAACGGAGCAAAACTGACTTCTACTTCGCCAAGTGTTTGAGTCCACTGATAATTCTCCAGGTCACAACCATTCCCCGAGTTTGGTTTTAATTTTCCTTTGTCCTCAGCATCCTCTTCTTCCTCATCTTTATCTTCTTTCTTTTCTGCTTAAACGACAACTGAGAGTTATAAAGTTTCTGAACTTCACGAAGACCAACACAACTCAGTGATGGTTTACTCCAATAAAAAATTACTTCTGACCAGTTAGTTTTTGTTACTTTAAAAAACGACAACATTTCAATTTGAATATAGCAATAGCAAAAATAGCTTAAAAACCTCTATACACAGACTTTCAGCTGAACTGTTTTCCTTTTTTCTTCTTTCAAATTCAGCAGCTTCTTCTTCGCTGATCTCTTTAATTCTTGGCGCATTCAGTTCTGCTTCCTTAAGTTTTAAATTAATTTAATGAATACACTAAAGTCAAACGGGCCTTTCAAGATAGTGGTGCTTCTTGATAAATACTCACTGTACCTCTGACGCCTTTTTTGCGGCACGCCTTTCCTCCAGCTTCTTCTGGTCTTCAGCCCGTTTCCTTCTCGCAGCTTCTGCGGCCTACCATTTCAAAAAAAAAATAATGAAGATCTTATTTTGCCTACATTAGTCATTTTCTGTTAAAATCAATAGGGAAAGCATAGCTTTTGCTGTTTTGAGTTTCAGAGCATTAAAAACACATTTAGGACAAGGCAGTCACCTAAAAATCGAAACCCTTGATAGGTAGCTGTACTTTTACATCAAACAAATTTGACACACTTAATCAAAAAGTGAAGAAAAAATCCTATACACTTACTTCTCTTGCAGTGGCTCCATGCTTCTCAAAAGCATTCAGAACCATCTTTTTTGCTTCTTCAAGCCCAGCACCAGTGTAGAAATCCGTTTTACGTGATAGGAAGCTGAAGCAAAAAAAACATAAGAAAATAATGAAGAATTTTTGGCTTACAGGCTAGTTGGAGAGGAACGCGCAAAATTATCAAGCGATTTAGGCTACATCTCTCAGTCATGGTGATGAATGAAGGCATATATTTGAAAGATATTAACCTAAAAAGAACGTCGAAAAGTTCAGGTACTCCACCTTCCATCTGAGTTGCAAGACCCAAAAGAACTCCATCAAATTTCTCCTGATCGCCCATTGCTCAATCGACTGAAAAAGTAAACAGTAAATGTGAAGTAGAAATCATGGTGCGTAATAGTTGGAGAGCCCTAATGATAAACAGTATTCAAAAAAGCTTTTCAATTTTGGACAAAAAAATTTAAAAAAAAAAAAATTGGAAACTGCAAGTTAGACAATACTTGATAGGCAATGCATACAACTTCGTACAAAAATTTATTCATCCCCAAAACCAGTCTTATACCTCAGACAAAAAATTAGCTTTCTTAATCACAATCACCTACTTACAGTTATATAATTTTCGTGTGCAGATGAAAGTCTGACCACTGTTTTGTTCCCCGTGACTAAGTATAGGGAAATTTTCTTGTTACTGTTGAGCAAAAAGAACAGGTTTACCACAGTAGCAGCATGACGTGTGTTGTGAATTACAATTACCGTGGACTTCGAATTAAGCGACAGCAAGCTGCAGTGACTCAGCAATTGTTTTTTTAATTAACAGCTCAAACAGTGTAGCAAAAAACATTGTTATGATACGGAATGTTGTCCACTACGTAAGAGCAAAAGAGAGAGGAAAAAAAAAGAAAACTAATGAGAATTCTTTCAGTAATTTGGTGCGTAAATCAACTCCTAATTGAATACAAAGATGAAGATACTTCTAGAACGCTGCTTATACGTTGTTTAGTGATTTCAGTAAACCAAACAAATCAACCAGTAACAGACAAACACTGAGGAACGAGAAGTCAAAAAAAAAATTGATTAAACGTTACAGGCGAATGCAATCACGAACAGTACTGAAAAAAATGAAAATTTCTGCTACAGATCTTCGTTCCCCTTTGACAATAAAAAGAAATCAGTCTCCCTTATTTAATTTGGCCAGACTTACATTAAATCAGGCATGTCCCTTCTTCATTAATGCTTCAAAAAAAATACTTTTGTTTGCAATAAACTAATCAACATGAAGAAGCAAACAAAGAACAAACACCAGATATAAAACCAAGAAACCGTAAATTTATAAAACATAGCGAAATATATACTCACAGTTTTCAGTTTTGCTACAGCATTCAGAGACAAAAATTTCAGCGCCTGTTACTTGGCAGCAACTTTTACGCGGGAAAATTATGAGTTTCAAATCTTTGTCCTATAACTTCTGTTAGCCGATGGCGAACACTCATCGTTATCCACCTTGCCGAGAATCCAACGCTTTAGTTTTACTAAGACAATGGTTTGTGGTGGTTGTTAGTGGTAGGTACCCAGTCTTTTAAGGAATTGTTCGATCGGTCAGCTTTCGTTCTAATGGTGAGAAATCAGCACAAAAGCGGAGCCGTGAAAGGTAACGGTCAAGTATTTTGGTTTTGCAAAATATGGACTTATTTTTACAGTGTCACTGAAAAGTTGATTAAAAGTATAGTCCAGTCTGCTTCTGGTTACTGTTTTTTCCTTTAACACTTGATTCTAGAGTTGGAAAAACAACTCTCGAAGGCACAACAAAGGGGAAACGATCAATTAGTTTCTGATTTATATGTCGACTTAGCGGAGGAACACCGTCGTGCTGGCTTCTTGAACGAAGCAATTGAGGCTTATAAATCTAGTTTGATTTTTTCCGAGAAATGTTGCACTATAGAAAATGCAGCTTTTGCGCATAGGGCGATTGCTGAAATGTCTGTTGATTGTGGTTGGTCTTTTTTTGTTACACTAAGCTTTCTTACTATTGTAAACGTGATGATCAGTTGTTCTGGAAGATCAAATCCAGCAGTCAAGAAAGTGGAGTATTACTGATTCAGAAAAATTACTTAAAGATGATGAGTAGTAGCTTTTTATGTGTTTTTAGTCGACGGTTGACGAGCCATTGTTGGAGCTGTTGGGGTTAAAAGTCCCCACCCTGCAAGTCCCCAAACATGCTTGTTTTAATCGTCAGCCTTCATTTTTCGTGTACTAAATTTCCGACATGCGAAGTTTCAGACTTGTCCATCTGTTCTTTGCTGACTTTCTAGAGGTCTAATAATAACATGTCACTGTAATTGTTTCGCTACTTTGTAACGCTACCCTCATTTCACTGAGTGGTGTAACTAAAGGCGTGGGCACTTAGTAACTGCGACCTAGGAATCTGGAAGCTTCAAATCCATATGGTGCGCATTTCTTTTACTGACGTTTCTCAGACATTTTCTGATCTGTTCAAAAACACCTGAATCCTATTGTTTTACTTATGTACATACTACCTGACAGATATCACTTGGTGAGATTTTGTTCTCGAGGAGTCCGCTTTTACCATTTTACAAACCTTTTATAACTGGTTCTCCGTGTTAGGAAGTTAGCAAGAATAGATGGGCTATTCTGAAACCTTCACAGGTTAATTAAACGGCATCGAAAACCCTGTATACACGAAGTGAAGGTTGGCGCTGAAAAAAAAAAAAAA